TATTATTATCATTCATATTTTTATATTCATTGCTTATACAATATAATGTAACTCGTATTGCAGGAGTCGCCCTCTAGCGGTCAGTATTTGAACAACAAATACAGAACACTAGAAATTAAGCAAATAAATTTACAAAGGATATTGTTAATAAAAATATAATAATAATAATAATAATAATATAATGTAAAATACAATACAAAATAACACTGAATATTAGACAGATTAAAAGTACTACAAATTATGTATTATTATTATTATTATTATTATTATTAGTAGTAGTAGTAGTAGTAGTGTTAATCTATGGTTGTTTTGTCACAGATAAGTGTGCAATGTGCATCTTTTAAATTACACTAAACCTTTCAGCACAAAAAAAACTAGAATTTCTTATAAACAAACTAATAAATTTACAGGCAGAACAAAAATATGTTTAATAATAAAAAAATAATAAAACGAGAATCATAATAACAAGTAAAGGAAGAATAGGAAGAATAACAATAATAATAATGGTCGAAGTAATATTTCAAATTAATCATTATTATCCTTCACATTTTTTTATATTTATTGCTCATATAGTAGAATGTGACTGGTATTGCAGGAGGCGTTGGCGTCCTCTAGCGGTCTTTATTTGTATTACTGTCTTACATTAACATTGCAGTAATGTACAAGCATATAAGTGGTAAAGTGTACAGTGCGCCCTCTAGCGGTCAGTATTTGAACAACCAACACAGGAAACACTTGAAATTAAGCAACAAATAAACAACAAGTAATGTCAGTAATTAGATCTACTAAAGGACATTTTTAAATAAAACATATTATTATTATTATTATTATTATTATTATTATTATTATTATTATGTAAAACACAATACAAAACACTGAACATTACAGGCAGATTAGAAACACTACGAAAAATGTATTATTATTATTATTATTATTATTGTAATATTGTAGTGTTTCAAACGAATTCTGACTCTAATTCACTTTTTTACTAGTAGCTTACATAGGATAATATAACTCCTATTGCAGTAGTCGTTGGCGCCCTCTCGTGGCCCTTTTTTGAATTACTATATTACAATAACATCGCAGTAATGTACATAATGTACAAGTAAGTCAGTATTTGAACAACAAATACAGGAAACACTATAAATCAAACAAACAACAAAAGTAAAGTTGCTAAAATAAAATTATTATTATTTTTATTATTACTACTAATGTATAGTTGTGTTGTCACAGATACGTGCAATGTGCATGACAAAACTAATAATAATAACTAGTACAGGAAGAAAAGCAATAATAATAATAATAATAAAAATAATAATAATAATAATAATAATAATAATAATACTTTTTTAATTGATTAGTTTTATTTCTAAAATATTTATAATAATTTAAAACAATCAGTGTTTTATTCAAGCAACAAAGAAAACAGTAAAGAAAAGTTATAATCAAACATTATTACAGGACATAATAATAACAGTAATAAAATAACAGTAATAATAACAATAATAATTATATGTAAAATATATAATACTAATAAATAATAATATAGTTGTACAAAAGATTTCTGCAAGACAGTTAGTGGTTCCTTTATTACTAAACCCAATAAAGTTACAGCTAGAAATTTAGTCTGCAGTCTGAATGTTTGAGAGGGTCAGTTTACCGTAACTGACCAAACAGCAACAGAGGAAGATGAAGAGAACTTTTTTCATTTTTGTTTTGTTTGTCTAGATCTGGATGTCCAAACGGTCAGTGATGAATCAACTTCCTCTGTAGAGTCAGACTCTCCACTCTCTCCAGGGTCATCCAGTTCATCCCTCTCTACAGTTATTCTTTAATCCACCCAGAGAAGAAGGAGAACAACAGAATTTATGGCTCAGGATGAAGTAAAACAGGTGAACATTCAGTGAACACACTCAGACCTCAACACTGATACTGATAAATATCAATTTTCATTAGAAATACAGTATTTTAAGTTTTAGGGTTAGAGGGATACCAGTCAGTGCAGTGTGGTGTGGTGCCCCCATCTTCCATACCTGTTTCTGTTAATTAATGGAGGATATAATCCTTTATATCTCATAGATGTTAACCTGGAAAGTCATTTTGAAAAGTCCAAGGAGTTTCTTGATGTAGAGCCTCTCCAGTTGAATTTGTAAAAATAGGTCCTATTCTCACAACTAACAACTCTACTTTAGTGGTTTTTGGACCAAAGACCAAAATCAATGCCACCAAAGCCTGTTCAGAAACTGACAGCAAACCATACCTCTCATCATGCAGCAATCACTTTCACCCCATCCCAGACACACCTCCAGGCTCAAATAACGACCGTCTAAATGATATCACACATTTTACTGAACAACTGCCAAAAAACTGTTCTCACTTTCAGAGACACTCCTGTGTTCGATTGTGGATTTTTAAACTTCAGAATTGAAAAGCAAGTCTTACAATGAACAAGGCATTTGTTTTGGTCATTTAATGAAGAGACAAATGAGTAAAGATTGTAAAAGATTCTAAAAGGTGTCCTGCCATTCTACACATGCAGAGCAATGAAGCTGAAGGCCTGAAGAGAGAAAGTGGCTGTGCAGAGCCTGGAAAGAAAGACATAAACAGTGGACTGGTTTACTGAAGACTCAAGGCTTTGACAAGCTTTGCACTTTGGCAATTATAGCAGTTCAGGCCAAGCTCAGTAATTCAAACCACATTTTCCAAACATACACATTTCTTATTTTGGGGAGTTCTGCAGTATTTTGCACAGGCCAGCTGAGAAGGCAGTTTAATGTGAGGGGTAGGCATCACAATATGGGACAGGAAGAACCTGGGATTAGCTTGGTCCTCAAGAGCTGGCAGTATGTATCCCCAAACAGGAAGTGCTACAGAAATGGAATTACCTGGAAGGCATTCAGCACTGACATTGACACTGGCTTGCTCATAGAAACAAAATCACCACAATGAATGGAACCTTGGAGGATCATAGCCAGAGTAACGAGATCTTTATGGTAAAGACACACGTCTAGATTGGGTGGTGAATGGTCTTCTCCATGCATGACCTGATTTACTGATGCCTGCATTGTATTTCTGTTGTAAACATAGTAGGTAAGAGAAGAAGTCAGAGCCGCAAGAGGATCACAAATTTATGCAGATTGAGTGGTGTTTAAGGATGGGCACTACCAATCACCCTCATATAAAAATGATGGTGCTAGTATGCCAAACAATCCTCGCCCGCTGAGAAGCGAAAGAGAAATTTCCTCAAAAACATAAGTTTTCATCAGGAATATAAAAGTTCATGGATGTTGTTTATTAGGAGGACATTCTGAACTTGGGCCTCAGGAGAAGCTGAAACTGGACAATGGAAAAAGTGGGACATACCACACCATGGCGTAAAGGGAAGTTTGCAGGCGGTGTTTGACTTCTCTGCTTTGTATTTCCGCTTACTGTCCACTTTATTAGAAACACCTACTGTGTACTTCTACTCACTGGCCACTTTATTAGAAACACCTACCGTTTACTTCCACTCACTGGCCACTTTATTAGAAACACCATATAGATCATGCTCAATGTTGATAAAGATGTTGAACAAATCTTTAGTCATTGTGAACACACTAGACTGAGTCGTGCATCATGAGGAGAAAACTGGCTTTATCTCAGATGTTGTGTTACAGAGACGTTAAACAGGTAAACCACTTTCTCACAGCTCTAAGCAGGAGAACCTACAGAGAGCATTTTCACCCTTTATTGGCCAAAACCGGTTCTCCTGTAATAAATCTAGTCAAGGTTACATACCAGTGACAGTAACAGAAAGATATGGGACATTCTAATACAGGAGATACAGAGCCTTGAGACAACTATACTCATTTCTGAAAACCCAGTAAGTGAGCAGAAACATAATGGACACAACATACAAAGCATTTACATTCACATTCTCAGTACACTGCTTTCTGAAAATATAGGAAGAGAGCAGTAAATATTACACAGCATACAAAATATATACATTCAATATAAAGAACATACAAGCAACATACACAGAAATGTCAAGAGATACTGGGCATCAGCATCAGAGGTGACTAGAGTACCTTAAACTCAAGTCTTTCACCTCTGATCAGTAATGAAGCCAACCACAGAGCCTGTAGTCTAAACTGAGCACCTACTGGAGTTATAGACTAAAGCTGATTTAGCGAGCCACATGATGAGTTGGTATAATAATTATTCTATGCACATTTGACTGGGTACACCTGTGATATCCATGGCTTCATCTCTAGGTAGGCTACTGCATTATCAGATGATCCGTTTTTACAATATATCTCATGAACAGAGATACATTAAAAAACTCTTCTGAAAGTGTGGAGGTCTGGACCTCGGTGTCCTCATAAAATATCATTGACTAAAATGTAACTGAATGATAAAAAAAACTGAATAAAACGTCAATCTTCCTGTTCTAACTTTCTAACTTCTTTTCTAAGTATACTTAAAGTAAAAGTATCACTTAAAAATGAGACGTTTTGCAGTGCTGAGCGAAACAACTGACTTGTGACTTCAATTTATCCGTCTACAAATGCTGTAACAAGAACTGGCGGTTTACCAAGAGTCCACCTAATGAGTGCACTGGCCTCATGCTGCACATGATTTATTTTTTAGACGGCATGTTTTAATGAATAAGTATTCTGAAAATATTCTCCTACACTGTTAGAAATAAAGGTTCTGTGCAGGTACGTTTTTCATTCATCAGTGTACAAACAATGTTCGTGTTCGCTCAAAGGTACAACAGTGGTTTTAAGGCCCGATTATGTACTTCAAATTAGCTTTTCCAAAAGTAAAAAAGTGAAAAGTACATATTTTTAATGTTTTAAAACAGAGCAATAAAATAAAAGGTCTAGAGACGAGACAGGGTGTGAGGAGTCAGTACAACTCGGATAGTATAATTTTAATGGATTATGGTACAGTTATATTCCCTGACGAAAGGTACTGAGATGTACCCTTGAGGATTCCACCCCAGTGACAAGTGAGGTAATGCCCCAGTGACAGTTTCATACCTTTATTTCTGAGAGTGAAAAAGTAACTGAATTTCAAAATGAATCATGGACTGAATGCAGATGCTTTTTTTCTGAATATGTACTCTTGGTGCCGTTACTTGTACAGTGTTAAAGTCCGGTCCTGTTACTTTGCACTAAAGAAATCCTTCATCATCTTTACATGCCCCACCGGAGAATGAGATGATTCTTTGTTTGCAGTTTTCTGTGTGTCCTTGTTCGTCCTACTTGAACAACCCACTGCAGAATGGATTGACTGTTTGTCTGTAGCTTTCTGTATGTCAGTATTCATCTTCTTTCCAGACCGCACTGCAGCGTGGGTTGATTGTTTGTCTGTAGCTTTCTGTATGTCATTATTCATCCTCCTTACAGACCCCCCTGCAGAGTTACTTGAATCTTTGACTGCAAGTTTCTGCATGTCCTTATTCATCCTACTAACAGGCCCCACTGCAGAGTGTGCAGATTCTCTGTCTGTAGTTTTCTGCATGTCCTTATTCATCCTACTAACAGGCCCCACTGCAGAGTGTGCTGATTCTCTGTCTGTAGTTTTCTGCATGTCCTTACTTATCTTATTTATATACCCCACTACAGAGTGAGCAAATTCAGCTGCAGCTTTCTGTGTGTCCATATTAATCCGACTTAAATACCCCACTGCAGATTTGGTTGATTCTTTGTCTGCAGCTTTCTGCATGTCCTTCAGTTTCTCAGCCCACCCTGCTGTTCCAATTTCCTCAACTCGGGGAATCAGGAAGTCGAGATACTGAATGGTAAAGGCAGAGTCTGGCTTTAACGCGATCTCTGACAGTTTTACGATCGCCACATATGCATTGTTCACCAAGCTCCTCTTCTCTTTCTCATTCCTGGCCACGTGCGTTCTCAGGCAGATTTCTAGGCTTGTCATCATTTCTTTAATTCTCAGTGACTTTTCATGCTCTGTTTCTACGCATTTCAATGCACTTTCATTGTAAGTGGCCTTTTCTTCAGCTGTAGTGCTATATTTCTGTTTCAGTTCTTCAAATGTGACTCTTTCCTCTCTCTGCTTTGTCACATATTTCTTGCCCTCTCTGACGTGCGTGGAGTAGTGGCAGTTACACACAATGCAGTGACCTTCTTTCATAACTTTGCACAAACGGGGACTTCCAGCAAGCCAGCAGCCAAACTCGTGGCAGTTCTCCTCACATTCTTTGCAGGAGGTCACCTTTCGGTCCTGCCATGAAGCACCTGATATGTCGACCTTCTCTTTGTAAGCTATCTTGACATTGAACGTAAACTTTTTGTCTTTCTCAATCTTTTCTTTGTTCTGTTTCAAAGCTTGTTGAACGTAAGTCAGTTCTGTCCGTTTTGCTTCGCTGTATTTGATGCGTTCCTTCAGGTTCTCGACGCAGGCCTTCAGCTGCATGCGCTCCTCTAGAACACTCACAGTCATACTTAAGCTTTTTCTCTGTCGCGATTTTAGGAATCCGAAAAATTCCGCAATACTACCTGTCGCCATTTCCCAGGAAGATCTGTAAACGTAGTCATATTTTTTTGTCTGTTTCTCAGACTGACGATTGTTGAACAGGAAATGAACAGGTTCGTTCTCTTCATCGTGACAGCAGGGGATCTTTTCCTTCTTGATGGCTTCCAGAACGTTTGTTGGTGGTCCTCCGTCGGAGTGTGTAATAAACAGCACTATAATGTCCTCTATGTCTTTACCAAATAAGGACAGAACTGCTTCGAAAATGTAGCGCTGAAACTCTGAGATCCTGTTCTGAGATGCTTTCAGGACAAGACACACGGCGTCAAGATCCTTCACTCCAGTCTCATGTAGAAATAATTGATGTAAGTTTCGAGCGATTTCCATGTCCTTATCTATCCCCCTGGTGTCTCCATAACCTGGAGTGTCAATGATGGTGAGAGAGGAGAGTTTCTCCTCAGAAAAGATCTCGTAAGCAGTGATTTCTGATGTTTGAGATTCTGTTTGGTCTCTCCTTTCTTCTTCTGTGATCTCGAACCACACTTTATCCTCAAACTTCACCCCCAGAAAGTTATTGGCCATGGTGTTGATCAGAGTGGTCTTGCCTGTTCCAGTTTCTCCCACCATCAGTATTGTTTTGTTTTGCATGTTGGCACATTTCTGTCCAAAGGTCCACTTTCTGATCTTGCCATCCTTGTCTAGATTAATTCTTGTTGTGTAAAGACGGTACAGCGGTGGTGGGCCTGGACTGAGCATGACACCTTTCTTGATTAAATCAGCTGATGATGCTTTGTTAATCCTGAAAAATCAAAGACAAAAGGTTTAACATTCACTACCTGAGCTTATATTGATGAGTGAACTTACTTTGATAGGTAAATACAGAATTGAGTGAAATGACAATAGTTATAATTATTATCATCTCAAATACTCTCAGGAGGTTAAATGAAAGTTAAATGAAATGTAGGAGTGATACAGTAACAAGTGCATTGACATTATTCATACCAAACACATAAAGATTAAAGTTAAAAAGGCCTTATGAGGCAAACACAGAGTGCACACATACTGAAACCTTTTTTGTTGCCGTTATGTTTTAAATGGTTCATTCTGGGAAAAACACAGTGCTTTTGAGTGTTTTACTCATTATAAGTAGTGACATAGTTAATTAAACTTAAATTAAACTGATGCTTATGTGCATAGAGCAGGTATGATAGCTTACTTAGTGCAAACCATCTCATAGCATAGCATAACTACTCGCACAAGACCTTTTTAAGGCTTCCTTGCTGCTGAATCCGTTCTTATAGTGGTTCTAATTGTTTTCCTCAGTGGTGAATGTACCTTCTTGAATCAGGATTTTTGTTTGGCACCAACATTTGAACCAATGATAGAAGTCAAGTAACTGACCATGTCAGAACTGACATTTTTAACGTGTTAATCAGCTGACGGCACCGTATTAAACTCTGTAGCCATGACAACATGCCAAGCCGTGTAGCTCCACACTCATGAGGGAGCAATGATGCTGAAAGAAAAGTATAGAAAGAAAAGACTGAAAGAAAAATATACTGATTGATTGATATTTTAAGTGATTGTATTTGCAGTGTTGCATTGCACTGTTGGTTTTATGTTATAGAAAATATGAACTACTAATGCTATTTATTATATTATTTTAATATTTTTTTTATTCTTTTTCTTCCTACATTAGTAGTTAAATGTTAATGTCAAATCTAACTGAAACAATAAACTAATTAAAAAATAATTGAGAACAATGAAATGACAATTAAATCGGATAAAATATTTTTAAAATGCTTTTGTCAAGCGCTGTAGTTCATTAAGTTGGCTATTCATCTGTTTCAGTCTTGTAAGTTTTTTCATGCAGCAGTGATATTAATGACCGTCTCCTGATGTCAGCGGTGCTGGCTGGGCATGGAAAGATCTGCTCAGTCCAGTTCATGATAGGACTGTTTGGGGATTTTTCCTGCAAATGGACTCTATATCAAAAGAAGGGGGGCAAACAGAGGATTGGTGGAACCTACACAGAAATAATAAGTGGACTCTACACTGATTTTAGGATAAAAGAGTTCTGCTATTGTCAAGCTTGCTATGCTATATAGAAGCTATATGGAAGAACCCTTTTTGGTGCTATATAGAACCCTTTTCAAAAAGGGTATATGAACAACATATATACAACACATTTTTCATCAATCTGAAGAAGGTACAAAAAAACCTTTAGGCATGGAAATGGTTCTTTAAGTGTTCATGGTTCTATAGAGGACCTATCCTCTATTCCCTGAAGACTCCACCTATCCTCTATTCACTGAAGAGTCCACTTATCCTCTATTCACTGAAGAGTCCACCTATCCTCTATTAACTGAAGAGTCCACCTATCCTCTATTCACTGAAGAGTCCACCTATCCTCTATTCACTGAAGAGTCCACCTATCCTCTATTCACTGAAGAGTCCACCTATCCTCTATTAACTGAAGAGTCCACCTATCCTCTATTAACTGAAGAGTCCACCTATCCTCTATTCACTGAAGAGTCCACCTATCCTCTATTAACTGAAGAGTCCACCTATCCTCTATTCCCTGAAGAGTCCACCTATCCTCTATTCACTGAAGAGTCCACCTATCCTCTATTCACTGAAGAGTCCACTTATCCTCTATTCACTGAAGAGTCCACCTATCCTCTATTCACTGAAGAGTCCACCTATCCTCTATTAACTGAAGAGTCCACCTATCCTCTATTCACTGAAGAGTCCACCTATCCTCTATTCACTGAAGAGTCCACCTATCCTCTATTCACTGAAGAGTCCATCTATCCTCTATTCACTGAAGACTCCATCTATCCTCTATTCAGTAGCATCCACCGCTATTCCAACTACATTTACATTTACGGTATTTGGCAGATGCTCTTATCCAGATCGACTTACTCTATTCAGTATAGAGCACGGGTTTTCAACCTTTTCCACCCCAAGGCCCACCTGTTTATAGCTACAAAGCACAGCGGCCCACAGAAAAACTAAAACCAACTTTTTAACATAAAATATTATTTTTCTTTTCTTAAGTGCTGACACTGAAAACCTGAGAACTAGGGCCTGAAAAGGTGCATTTCAGAGAAACCAAAATTTGTAGTTATGTTAAAAACTCATTTTGAAAAACATTTGCAGTGATGTTAAAAAGGGGGGAAAAAGGAAGAGAAAAATAGAAATGTATGAGGTAGATGTGGACTGTGGTTTGGAGCTGTAGTCCATCAGGTTTTACACTATACTTTATTTGATATTTGCTTTTTTGTCATTGGTTTATCAGTTTAAGTTTAACCGCTCATGTCACTGATGCTTATCCGAAAATAGGTTCCAAAATCAAACGCATATCTCCACTATTATTCCATGGCTTGTCGTACAGCAGCTCGTGCTGCAGGAATTGAGAGCAAATGAGTGTCTGTACAGAGTCAGATGTTAAAACAGGCAGATTATGATGATAGTACAGCAGTGACGTGCAGCTAGAAGAAGAGAGAGCAAGCTTTACTGATGAATTCCCTTCTTTGTGGTCCACCAGCAGCAAACTGGACCAGGGTTAGTTTGGAAGCAGACTGAGACCCACGGGTTTTGCTGAACCACAGTTCAGGAATGTTCACACATGTCAAAACCAAGTGAACTAAAGAGAAGGTGTGATAGGTTTACACCAAACAGTGCAGGTGTGATAAAGACCCTGAAAAACGAACTTCTCCATCTCTGGTGGCTGCGTTGCCTCAACTTAATGACATTTTAGCCTGCATAATTAGCCTGCTACATTGACATGTTTATTTATTTGTCTCTATTCACATTTATATTGGTCATAATTTGAAAACATTTGATTATTAATTAATCAATTAATAATTAAAGGCTGCTTCACGGCCACTACTATTCAGCTGTAGAGTCTGCATCTACTGGGAGTAGATTCCAAATGTCCTCTGTCAGGCTGTGACAGTTTGCTGGTAGTGATCGAGCTGTGTTAGAAATTCCCCTCTCAGCTCTTTTCAGCCACACTTTATATATAATCACAAAATCAGATTGTAGATGAACCTGTAATGCTCAGTTATCTGAGTGTAAACATGTAACCTTACAGTTTACATTTTTTGTTTGATGTATATATAGATATTGCACTTTTCTTAGTTCTTATCTATTCAATTTATACCTTCTAAGAAATAGACTGAAGAATTGCAAAAATCCCCAAATTAAAATACAAAAAAATGATTATAATTTTATTCAAATTCGAAGTCGAAAACATATCGCTGTTGTCGGAACAAAACCTAGTATCTCCATTTTTGTTGATGTTCGATTTTTGACATCATTTGAAAATGCATGTTGGCCTTTATATTGTGTGTAAATTTCATGAAGCATGGACCAAAATAAATGGCCAATAATGACTTGGAAAAAGTCTGGTTCCATTGACTTACATTAAAAGTAATGCATGTTTTTTTCCTTCTCCTGTAAAGTTACCATTTTGGAGATACGGTTTGTTCTGACAGCAGCGATATGTTATGATGTGAAAATGACAATACATATCGTATCATGAAATTTGCATATCGTTACTCCTCCAATGTCATCAAAAAAAGAGCTGAATTACATTTTCACTCACCTGTGAGCCATGATGATTGTGTCCATATACCTCAGATCTCAGAAGAGAGGATGTGGGTACTGCTCAGTGATCTGTTACACGGTTTCAGAGCAGAATGTCAGTGTTACGATAATAATTACAGTTCTTAACTATCCTGAAACTTTTGGAGCTTTAGATCTTCCTTCAGATCAGTTTCTTTTTGGTTCCCTGAAAATGTTCTGCATGGGCTCTGTACTTCCCCTCGTTTGTCTTAGCAGAACCTGTCACAGCGTCAGCGAATAAATATGCTGTTCAACAAGATGAAATGTTTTACATGCTTCTCAAAAGCACTGTGTCTTGGCTGTCAAAGCAAAACTCTATACTGAAAAGCTTTTGACTACTATAGGACAGACATGTTAATCAAAATTTCAATATTGTTTTTTTTTTTATTTGATCGTTAAAATAAAGTCTATAAAGTCATATTGTTTTAAACAAAAATGGCTTAAACAGAGGGAGTCTTTGGTTTAAATACATATTTTCTATCACGTCTACTAGTACTATTAGTAGTATAGTGCACTACTGTGTGTGTTTATAACACCAACATATGTCTAATCCAGGTTATCCAGAGGTTTTGGTCTGAAGAGTCTGCTTTTGAGCTCCAGGTACTGCTGACCGGACTTTAAAATGTCCAGTTGAGTCTCAGTCTAAAGGCATTGATTTGATTAAACGCAGTTGTCTTCTTGACATAAGAATTTACTTTAAAATAGAACATTTTGCTTTTTCTTGCTCATTGTGTGAAAAGAGTGAGGGAGCTGGGGTTTGGCTGCTATCAGGACAGACGGATGTGTGCTAATTGACACAGAGCTCGGTAAGAAGTCTAAGCTATAAATGCAGCTGTATGTAGAGTAAGAATATGCTGGAAACACAACACTTCACACAAATGCTCATTTATTGAGCATAGCAGCTGGGGAGACTCGCCACTCAGCGCTACTGAACGGCTGGAACAGGAGGCAGTTTATCAATAGACACACACCTTTACATGACAGTAGGCACTAACACTGGCACAACTACCCCACAGCCCAGCTCTTAAACCAATGTCAACAACTTATTTACAAAAGTTTTTTGCTCTCACACTGCACGTCCAGCACAAGTTACCAATGCAGTACACAAGAAATAGTGTTTAGCTGTTACCAGATTTGCATTAGTAAGTTTAACACGAGTGATATTTTACAGCGTACATAACAGTTTGAACCTACCTGCGAGTTTGATGCTTGTTCAGGAAACCAAAAAATCAGGAGAATAAGTGACTCTCAAACAAGCCAAACCGTATCTAGCAGTCAGACGATTTCTTCTGCAGGAAGAACAGCCACAGTGGTTACTACACGATGTCTAAGCCACAGATGCGCTGCTTAGGCTGTTAAAGTCTTGGTGTACAGCTGGGTGTGTCTGAATAACTGAGTAAAACTTCCTCTTTATGTCTTTTGACTAAACAGGTAATCATGTGGATGCATATGCTAGTCAGCTCTGCTGCTATAATTAGTGATGCCATGAGCCAAAAACAATTAATTAGCCTAGAAAGGAAGTTTATTTCAACTATTTGGACGCAGCTCTTGTCTTTCATTTCTTTTCAAACTCCAGACTGAAAGAGATCAGTTCTTGTAAGCATTAGATCCTTTTTCTCATAACCAGGATTGAGCATGCTATGATTTTGTAAAGGAGATTTTTGAGTGTTTTCATCAGTTGCAGACACATTTTCACTGCTGTCTCACATACTGCAGCGTTGTAGAGAAGAAAAGTCAGCCTAAAAAACTTTTTACTGGAACAAAAAGGCAGAAAACACCACTAAACACAGCCATATTCAAGGTGGAGGTTACCAAAAGCTTCATGGTGACCTCCCCCTTTTCATACAATGCCCCCCCAGGTTCCCCATCACCAAAGAACATGCACACACACAAAGACTGGACAAAACACATTATACACCAAAATAAGTTCTCTGTTTAGGGGGCTGCCTGACTCCCAAGAGCACTTGTGGTGGCGGGAGCCAATGTTAGAACGCAATAATACATTTTTACTGAAATACTGCTACCCTACTGTTAAAATACTTTTCTTTTAGTAGCAGTCGTAGTAGTTGTAGTAGTAGCAGCAGTAGTAGTAGTTTTGGTCAAAGGGGAAAGTGGATAGAGATTTAAAGGTTTAAAATGATTGAGTGACATGAGCAGTGGAGCTTTAGAGTGTTCTGTAATAAATTCCAGCTGGCTGGTGCTCTGTAGCCAAAGGCAGGTTTTTCCAGTTCAGTAAAAATTACAGGCAGCTGAAAAGTGTTCCGGTTACTGGAACAAACTTGATGATTTCCAGTACTTACACTAAACACCGCTGTTATTCATGATGACATATGCATGGTAAGTGTCTTGTAAATAAGTAGAAGCTAGTGTCTTTCCCCACCCACAGCCAGAGAGGACCAACTTTACACTAGGCCAGTTTTAGTTTCCTTAAATAAATGTTTATTACTAGGTCAAATCATCTATAGTTGATTCTCATTGAGTCTCCATTATTCAACCGTGCCACTGTGTCTCAAAATTCACAATATATTCTGATAGCAGGGTGTGACCTGAAGGAGGCACAACTGCTGCTGATCTAATCCATTGCCGCCTCCCTCTGCTGTGGTACCAGAGATTTACTATCGTAAGTGGAACCCCTGATTCGGCCAATCATATCACACCTTGTAAGTTGAAAACCAATAATACCAGAAATTGTGGTGGGTCTCTGGTTCTACTGCCTCTGCAAAGTCACGTCAATCAGCAACCAATGAAGATGAAGACAGGATTTTGTTTAAAATCTCACTAAAATAAACATTACATTACATCTTATTTATAATAGTCTATATTATATGTTAACTACAATATACAGGGTGAAACAGTAAGAGTGAAGTTACGTACTTACAATATGGATTTGTAGCAGGTTGTGTTTTTGTGACCATGTCCAAGGTTTTTTGATCAATTTCCCAGCTCTTGCTACTCTAAAAGCTCATGGTGAAACTTTTGAGGCCATTACAAAAATTCTACAGCCCCGTCTGCAAGAGTCAACAGTAATGAATCTCAGAGAGCAGAAAGACAGACTCAGTCTAAGGGTTTGAGGCTACTGGCACTCACACACACACACACACACACCTACATATATATATCACATCACTATAATCAATGCCTTCTTTAATTTATAGTGTTTCTCCAGGTAACAGCTATGAAAACTTCAGCTATGTGAGGACAGGGGATTTTATATAATTTATATATGCAGCAGCTGAATGACATAAATAAACAGGCAAAGTTGGAATTATTATTTGTCCATCTCTTTAAATCCCATTAAACTTATGAATATGATTGTAGAATAAATACTTATGTAATGTACATATTTGAGTGAAACATATTTTTCTTTAATCGGAACAGTCAGTGTGCACTTCCTACATAAACATTCCAGCTGCTTTGACGTCAGGCTGAGCAGCCAGTAAATCCACATTCTCAGCAGAAGTCTCTGTTTTGCTTTCAGTTACACTTGGCATCAAATAGCTTAAAAAGGTGAATAAAACACCTTAAGTTCTTCCTTTAAATAAGAACCTTGAGGGAGGGTTTTCTTCCCAAAAAGGAATTTAAACAAACACTCCAAGGTGACTCGCAGAAGCCATTGTGTGACGCTGAAACAAGAGATCAAGCAGAGCCAAGAGTGGGTGACGGGGCAAAAGGCTTGACTCAATCTACCTAAGTTTACAAAAAAGTAGGTTTTTAAAGATGACCAAGATGACCTAATAATTGAGAAGCTGTGGCCATCATCAGCCAATCAGCTTTCAGCAGACATTTGACAGGCTTAACATTGACCAGTTATCATGAAACTTGAATGGTGTGTTTATGTAAGGACTCACAGTGACTTTATGAAATTTCAAAAGAATAGACCACTGTGGGGTGCCACTCAATTTTCCAACAATCTAATCAAGTATATCTCATGCAATGTTTCAACTGACAATTCAAATAATTTTGTTAACCTTGTTTTAATGCATTATAATGTATATTAGTATTGTGATGTCTGGAGCTTTAGGGGTGTGGTATGCAAAGCTACACAACACCAGCATCTTTGTTGAAAGGACAGTTGTTGTTGTTTTTGTTGTAGTTAGTGTAGTGTGTTGTTAGTTTAAGATGTGTGTATGTGGTTGTGTTTGTGAGGTGGGTCGTTTGGTGTGAGATGAGTGTTAACCATGGAAGGAACATGTATAGCTTGAGGTGACCTTGCTTGTAATTCCAACTGTTATTTAGTGCCTTTTCTACTTAGTTTAATAAAAAAAACAATTTCCTGAGCAGAAATAATGACATTCTTCGGTTCTTATTCACTGCAATGGCACATTTGGTGTCAGAAGTGGGATATTGCTGCCAAATTAAGAGAAACTGAGCATCGGACCCGCAAACTCAATATGGATGGTGGCAAAGAGAGCATCTGGAGTACAGAAGTAGTGAGCGATATGCCTACCCTTTTCCAGACGGGTCCAGCCAGCAATGTGGCTTGCTGGGGAAGACAGCAAAAGAGAAGACAGCGAGAGAGATGGCTCAGTGACAGAACCCAAGTGTAGACAGCACACATCCACCTACCATGCTACAACAGTGAAGGCAACTGGGAGCTGCATGAAGCTGCACGTGGTCACCTTACATTACGGCTGGATGACGGCCATCACCGCGATTCAGCTATGCCTGGAAGCAAAAGTGCTCCAGGTGCTTGTGGACCTGTCAGTACAACAACACCCAGACCTAGCAGCATTGAGCATAGCTCTGCAGTGGTGGTTCGAGCAGGTGCCAGTGGTGCTGTTAGTTAGCATGTTGCTTCAATAGATGGAGGCAAAAGGAAGAATGTATATGCGTACTAGGAGTCCAAAGAGGGGGCAACATGTCAAGCAATCCCCAAGCGAGCAGTAAGGGGGAACGGCCACCATCACAAGCTTTGGATAGAATGCAGCGGCTCATCAGTATCCCTGCTATGACCAGGCACACACTATGAATGGCACACCAGGCGGCTGGAAGGCAACAACTTCCCAACTCAGGTCATCGGCAGGCGAGTCAATGTGAGGGGGAGAAAACAGTTCTCATTCGTCCTGAGGGGAAATCTATAGTACTGTGACAGTAGGGGTTCCCAGAATAAATTTGCAGGAGTAGAGGTTCTGGGGCCGTATTACAGAAACTTCCAATCCTTTTATCTTAACTTAAGATCTGACAGGACAAGATTTTTCACTAATTTATATTACAGAAGCAAATCTTTAAGAAGATTTAACAATCTTGTCTTACAGCATCTCAAGTTAGGAAATCTTAATTTACTCAATGGATGTTGACAATCAACTGTCACGTCTGTTACCTAGCAACCGGGAGTAGCTAGCCCAACAGCCAGGTACCGTTACTGAAGTAAAAAAGTTATTGTGACAGCACTTTGTGCTGTTTATCACAGCAACGATGCTCTTGAATTTCAGTTTCAGTTTCCCAAATGATTTAGCCGACCATGCTAAAATTATTCCTCCTAATAAACAACAAAGCAATCAGCTCCATCTCCTCATTATTCACCACCATCACTGTAATATTTTATCTGATGAGTTTTCATCAATATTAACACACAAAGGTAATGAGAGGGGATGGTGGAGATCATGTCTGCAATGTCTTGGATTTTTAAAACGCTGTTAGAAAAAAAGTCATAAGTGAAAGCACCATTTTCATCATCATGTTAGTTATAGTGAACAGTGCTGCCCATCACTGCATAAAACGATAGAAACAGACAGTTAAAACAGAAGTTAAGACCCCTCGGGGGTTGTCTTAAAACTAGGACAGTGTTTAGGAAATTTTGTCTAGTTACGATGCTTCTGTAATACTCTTTTCTGTCTGAAGTTAATGGATAAGATTATGGACCTGTTGGTCTGTGATAGTTTCTGTCCTATTGTCAGTCTTGACTGAAGTTGTCATGGTAACTTAACAGATAAGACTAAAAAGTTAAGGCGTTTCTGTAATACAGTCTCAGGTCCACTCAGCTGTAATCACAAGCTTAAAGACGGCATGCAGAAACAAATGAAACATAACTCTCTGGGTCACTCTATCTCTCCTGATAACTGCTATGCTCTCTGTTTACTTTCTGGCAGCTGTGTCCTTTAAAATAAGTGTCCCCATAACAAAAGGCAGAATAAATGCTACTGAACAGAATAACTGAAAAAAACAGAACAAAGGCGCGCCCCGACTGCTCAACATCGTGACAGAGATAGGAATAAAGTTTTTTTGACAGCTATTTGCATTCTTTGTTTTTACATTTCTCTTTGGTATTTTGATTTAATGAGATTTTACCCATGGAGGGAAATACGGGAGGTAAATCTGGCCAAAAAAGAAATTAAACTTAAAACAATAAAATGTAAATGCAAACCCTTTTTTTTGCCATTTCTTTTTCCAAACAA